AGACTTCATTTCATAGCAAAGAGAGAAACTACTTTTTTATTTTAATTTGCCATTTACTCAAAAAACAGTTGAGCTTAAGTTTTAAAATATACACTTATCAAAATATATCATATGAGCAAAAAGGCTGTAAAGGCCAACAGCAGAGCTCCTACTTCTTTCCCAGTGACCTCAACATGCAGACACATAAAAAGGCAACCCATTGCATCTACACTCCTTGATAGCTCAGCAATATGGTTTTCATATGCACACTTTGCCGAAAATACAACCTGAATTCAAAAAGAAAGAGGTAAAAGAAAAAGTTCTGAGTTCTGAGAGAAATATTAGCTAAGCATGAGATTCCCCAGTGATTTCATTTATCTCTTCTTCCTTACCTCGTATGTTCTGCTACTTAAAAAAAAAAAGAGGCACAAAAGAAAATTTTACAAAAACTGCAGACAAATGCTGAATCTGGAGATTCCCAATTAGTTTTCTTCATAACACATGTACAAAAATAAAATCATCACATATGTTGGCACAGATTACAGATAAGCTAAATTATAGTAACTTTGATGAAACAGCTAAGTCAAACACGCGTGCATCATTACAGTTGTCCCGCAATAACTTTTAAAAGTTCTTGCAGAGTTGTGCCCCTCTACTTTCTCACTTCTCTTAAATGTTATGTAAAAGCTCAGAAAATTGGTTTCTGCCCAAGCTCATCAAAGAAAAATGTTCCATCCAGGAACATGGACCACTATGATCATGCCCTCCTTTCTTAAACGCTTCATAGCTCTGGCTTCCATCAGAACAGCCTCTCTTGGTTTTCTTTCTACCTATCTGACTCATACCTGATGGGGCTTCTCTTGCTCCGCCCATCCTATAAATGTATTCTCCTCCAGGATTCGATGCCTGGGTCTGTTTTTCTTATCTTCCTAGGTGACCACATCCACTCAATGATCACCTTGCTGTGATGTCCAATCCTCCATCTCAGCTCTCTCTCCCATGTCCAATGTATATATCCACCTGCTCACCGGATAAATCCACCTGTGTGTCCATTTATAGGTGATCATGCTATCCATTCAAATCTTTTCCTATTTTTACGCTCTCTATCCCAGTGAGTAACACCACGACTCACCCAGCCACTCAAACCTGAAATCTGGACCCTTATCCATCACCTCTATGTCCATTTGGTCACTAAGAAATTTCTGTTCTATTTATTATCCCTCAAATCTATCTTCTCTTCAGCACCAGCACCACTTCCTTAGGGTACACTGCTAGAGAAATGAGGAGCCCCTGCTCTAACAATCTTATAAAAGGTCTCCTGCCTCCAAGTCTGACTTGCCTCAATTGAGCCCTTCCATGTTGCTGCCAGTGTAACCTCTCAAATCTTTAAACCTCTGTTCCCCAAGGCTTCCGGATGAAGCCTGGGTTCCTCAGCCAGGTTTGGAGATGTGGTGGTGGGTAAGCAGGGAGCTTCCATTTGCTCACCACAGTATGAGGTGAGGTTATCATTAAGGTCATGGGTAAGCGGAACAGGAAGACTGTGGAGGTTTCAGAGGAGAAGAGATGAACAAATCTCAGAAACGGAGAGAGCTAAATTGCAAGGGAAACCTCACAGCATTGCTGAGTAGAAATGAGTTCCAACAGCAAGTCTGTGGTAATGCCTTTAAGGAGACACCACTCAGTGTTGTTGTAAGGACCTGATCTCCCCCCTACAAAAAAAGGGAAGCTACTCTAGTGCAAGTATGGAGACAGAAAGAGACAGGCTTAGTGAGGGTTGTGGGGCTTCCGCCTGGTGAACAAGACAGCGTATGCTATGTGCATTGCTCTGGGCCGAGGGCTACAGTGAGAAGCAAAGCAAAGCTGCCCTCTTAATGGAGCTCACATGGTTGAGGGACAAATAAATAACACAACTGCAGAGAGTGGTAAGTGTCATAAAGACCATAAAGCTGGGGGAAGTCAGAACATTGTTTATTAATATATTCTCCAGTCTCCCAAGCACGGTAGACAGCTGCACCATTACAAACAATGAATGCCAGTGGGACTCAATTCTCCAAGTCTGCTTATTTTAGAGCAGAAGTAAGGGACATTCCCAAGGAAGAGGTGTTTAAGCAGAGACCACGCAATCTTGGCTGGAGTAGAACTGGGAAGACGGAGTGAAAGAGCAGGCGCGACAACGGATTCCAGGGTTAGACGAAATCTAGTGACTGCTAGAGTGTGGTCCACACACCACGCAAGAGCTGAACCACAAGGATAAGAGATGCTTCTAGTATGTCGTGGGAGCAAATGAAATAACAATATTTGGCCAGTATTGGGTATATTCTCTTGAACTGTTTGAGAGAGACTTTAGATTTTGAAAATGAGGCACAATAAAGAAGACTTTGATGCGATATATAAAAACATGAATATGCCTATATAAGGTAATCTGAGCACAGAGGTTAACGCAAGAATACTATTTTATTATTGACAAAAACCTAATTATCGCAAAGATTTGGCATATATTATTTGTACTAAGGTGGTATGTATGTTTTTTAGTGCATAAATTTAATTTTAGAATTTTGTCCTAATAATGAGAGGAAATATGGGGCAAAAATTGATTACAATCTTAAAAATCTATCTTAACAGAAACATTATTTGAAACGCCTTGTTTTCACTATATGTCACTGGACATAGGCTCATGAGCAATCATATTTAAAGCTGGACTATGTTTCTTCCGCATTGTTGACACACTTGACCTACACAAGTTTTTCTAAAGGATTTTCTGTTGTCATCATCTGCCTTCCAAATAATGTGGAATGTCAGATCCGTTAAGACACACACATTTTCGTGTTTACTGCCCTAACTCAGCACCCAGAAGAATGCCTGGGCAAACAGGAGGCATTCAAAAGCTTTTTTTAGTGAACATATAGAACACTGGAGTAGACCAGGGAATAATAGAAATGTGACTGAAAGTGCTGGAAGAAGAGCCGTAAAGAAAGACTCATATAATTGGGGTTATTTAACCCAATGGCAAAAAGGTGAGGCATTTCATGCCGATAAGAAAATATGGGTTATGTTATTAGCCACATAACATTTATGATTTCATTTAACAGAGAGAAGTATAAGAATTGCTAATATATGAATATCATAATAAGGGGGTTAAAAAAGATCTTCCTGGAAGATCATTAAATTGGAAGAGATACTTATCTATTTAAGTATGACTGAGCAATCGTGTCTTCCATACAAGTGAAGTGCTAGACAAAGCCTGAAGGCCTCTACCCACCCTCTGAACCATCATAAATGATTACCAAAGACAGCAGACACGGTTGACGACGTGTGGTTCCTAAGCATCATGCCTAAATCCCACCTGGGCTGCACAACCTAACTTAGCTATTCATTCAGAAACTGACTAAGACACAGTCATAAAGAAAGTCTCAATGCCTGCACAAAATACAGATTCAGAATTTATATAATAAATCACACACAACGTGAACAACAATATGAGTCACACTCGTCAACATTTTCATGTGAAATCCAGCAAATTGTTTAACTTCTTTTTGGAATGAGTCACAGAATTAAAGACTTCTTTCTTCCCATAAGCAAAAAAACAATATTCCATCCTTTCACCTATATAGTTTTCTAAAATTACACCTTCTTGATCCTAAAACCCCAATGGATGGAAAAAGCAAGACTCATTTTTATCCACCATTAGGAGCGGAGGGAGCTTCAGGATCCTCTAACATGTAACTCTAGCACTATGATTTCCATCAAAGGACCATTTAGGGATCAATGAGCAGATTTTCCACTCTAAGTCACGAGGACTTGAGAATTTGGAAATGAAAATCACTTTGATTTATGATTCTTCTCAAAGTTCTGTTTCAATTTCATGATTATATTAAATGATTAAATAGTATTTTCCCGTCTACAAAAAAAGCTGTGCCTAATGTTTAATCAAATCCCAGCATGACTCATTCATTGTAAATCATCATTATCGACGCCTGAACAACCTCTGAAACCCACAGCCTAATACCCAGAGGGTGGAGCGAGGCCTCAGAGCACCACCTGCCTCAGTGTCATGCCACGTGAGCCTCTAGGAGAATTCCTGCGGCAGCAAGAACGTCCCCAGAGCACGGCACAGCACGGCACAGCACGAGTCTGCTCTTCAGAAAAGACCAACGTTCCAGACGTGAGATGTTTTGAGTAGCGAATGTTCTGATATAATCGTAACTTTCAGTGATTTCAAACAGCTAGACTTCTCCTCTTTAAAAAATACCTTGTGAAATTTTCCATCCCTGCTTAGCTCATAGGAACATAGGAAGAGTCGATAAGCTAATATTTATAAAGTTTTTAAGCTCTCTGGAAAAAACCATCTTAAATACCCAGAGGTATTTATACGTCCTATAGAAAAATAGCATATAATGTTTTGAAGATCTGAAAACATCAATATAATTTGGTGTTGGGCACAACGTTTTGACAAATCAAATACCAGGTTGAACTAAGTCATAAGCATAGATAAAACTTAGAAGAATATCTCATTTTTTACTGCAAAAAGCATAACATTTTTATTGTCTTTATAAATGTGTGCTATTTTAACCAGTATCTATTGTATTTGCTGTCATTAAAAAATATAATAATAATGAGCATTATCCACAAAATAGGATATTAAGGAAATTGCTAGTCTCTTAAAACTGTGTAACTCATGATTAAATACAACTTGTTTTGGGGGCCACCCAGTGGCATAGTGGCTGCCTTTGCAGCTTTGCTTTTGCAGCCTGGAGTTTGTGGGTTCAGATCCCCAGCATGGACCTACACACTGCTCATCAAACCATGCTGTGGTGGCATCCCACATATAAAATAGAGGAAGACAGGCACAGATGTTAGTTCAGGGCCAATCTTCCTCAGCAAAAAAAAAAATAAAATAGAATACAATTTGTTTTTCTGTGATGTCAAAATAATCCCCTTTAAGCCAATGTGTATTTTACAAAATACCTTCTACCTTTCTGCTGAAAAGGGAGGGAAAGCAAACATATCGCTTCAGAATTTACCTTGAATGATGAATTGCTCCATGTTTTCTTTAAAAGGCTGGATGTGCTCTTTCGAGGACGCCTGGTACACTTTCCCCGCTTCAATCTCACAGGCTGAAATCAGACAAAGACATTGTTTAGAACATCACACTGTTAACAGAGTATTAAGACAACTTTTAAAGCATATTAATTAATGTTAGAAAATCCTGTTAACATTCTTAATTCTTATTATAATCATATTTCATGTTCTACACATATTTTGGAAACATCTGAGTACTGACAGGAGAAGCCTATGACCCAGGCTTCGCTTTAGGGGCTTATAAAAACAAATTCTTCAGAATCTATCATCTCAGTTTGGTCACTTCCAAACTGTGTCAACTTGGACAAGTTACTTGACCTCTCAGCTCATCCCTCTGGAGAAGGGGCATGACCCTGAGCTGCCCGCTCAGCGCTGTGATGAGGGTCAGAGCAGTGAAGAGATGCCCGGTATTCGACTAGAGCCTGGCACACGGTGAAGCCGCATGGAAGTACTTCCTGTCATCATCATCACTGTTGTCAACTGACTTCTATACAAGTTTATCCCCAATTAAAGTGCAAACTTCTGAAACATAACAAGTAACAACTTTGGTGGAAATGTTACTATAACTCCATAATTATTGGTTGCATCTACTACATGGCAGATGTTTTTTATCTATATTTAACTTAATATTTAGAATAAGTTAGTAAAGTAGATATTATTACCCCATTTCACAGCTAAGGAAATTAAGGCTCAAAGAGGGCACTCATTGGCTCAAGGTGCCATGGATGATAAGCAGCAGATCCCTAACTGAACTCCTGACCTCACTCCACAGGTTATACTCTTCCCTTGTCTGTGCCATCGTCAATGCCTCAGCAGTCTTCAGATCCCACTCGGGTTAACCAAGAAGTATTTCTAAGAACGTTTCTAAAGAAACCTCTGTCACTACAGTGAAAGTGAGAAACCTAAGCCCAAAAGGAAATAATTCAAAATTGAAAAGCACATATTTGAAAGACAAAACTTAGGACAGATAAATGTCTATCTTAGGAAAACATACCCTCACTACAACTCTTAAGGCAAGTGGCCAGTTCTTCAAGGAGGCTTTGTAATTGTACTCGAAAACGTTCTCTTTCTCTTCTAAAGCTGTATTTTCCTTTTCCTTCCCCTCCAGATCATTAGCTTGTCTGAGCATGAGAATACAGGAGGGCTGCGTTGTTAGCACACATCCTCCCCTCAAAGGTAAAAGGCAATGGGATGCAGTAATCGTTAAGACCAGTTATGCACCTCTAGGGTTCTCTGCTCATTTCTCCCGCACTCCTCACTTCCGCCTGAGCAATCTCTCGTGTGCTGGCGACTGTCCAGCACAGGTATCTTGTAGCTTCAGGCTCCTACAGGAAACCTCCTCAGATCTCAGGCACTCAGTATCTACAGTACCGAACTCATCAGCCTTCTCTAGGTCGGCCACCTCCCTTACTCTGTTCTCCTTGGTGGTACCACCATCTAACCCAAATGACTCCAACCAAAGCAGGAGTGTTATTCTTGACTCTCTCTCCTTAGCCCGGAATCCTGCTGACGTTACCTCCTAAATGCTTCTCAAGTCTGCCTGTCCTCTCCATTCTTGCTCTATTCTGACGCAAATGTCCTCATCTTTCTACCTGGGCTACTGTGACAACCTCTTACCTGGGCTTCGTGCCTCCTGTCCTCCACAGACCCCCTGCTCCTTCTCACAGCTGAAAAAGCCACCCTGAAGAGACCTCACCAATCCCCCAGTTTCACAACCACACCCTGAAGAGAGGAGCAATTCAAAAGCCTACCATATGAAGCACAGACTGTGCCCAATCCAGGCCTGGCCAAACTTTCAAACCATACACCTCCACTCCTCATATTTTCTGCAGACTCTGCAAGTTCTCATCTCCATACCCTTGCTCACCTTGGCCGCTCTGCTCAGAATGCTTCTGGCCTTCCCCCCGCCATTTAACTCACCCATTCCCACTAGCACTTCATAACGTCAGCTGGGTGTCACTGCTCCTAACAAGCATTCCTTCACCTCCCTACAGTCCCTGCTCTCTTCCACTCCCTGCCAGCTGCCTCCAGGTGGACTGAGTGTCCCTCCTCTGTGATCCTACAGCATCTTCTGCACAGAGAATTAAAGCTATTACTTATTGAGTACTTTTTATGTGCCCAGGACTGTTTCTAAACACTTGACATGTGTTCTCCCATTCATTCCTCAAAAAACCTTTTGAAATAGATTAGCAATATACTTGCTTTATGTCAGAGAAAAGTGAAATAAAAAGAGACTGCCCAAATTTACACAGTTCATAAGGTGGGATTTAACATCGGCTTCCACACTGTGTTCAGGTTATTAGCGACTGTGTCTATCCTGCCCACCAGCCTGAGCTCCTTGGAGAGGAAACCTGGTGCCCATTTGTATTCTTAGGGCCTGACATAAGCAACAAATTGTTGGACGGCTTAAACAACTCCTGACGTAGAAATAACTCTGGATTTTGAAATCTAGCAGACAGCATTTAAATTCCAGTTCACTCGTCCACTGAATGAGCCTAGTGATTCAGACCTTAGTTTCCTCATCTGACAGTGGATTTAAGAAAATGTCTCTCTAACATCAGCATGACTATTAGCCAAAATGGGTCGAAAATTCCTGAAATTGAACTTAGGATAAATAAGTAGGGGCACTAAAAATAGTGGCTCTTGCTGCTCTTGTTTTTATAAGACCAGGTATAATTGAGCTTGGAGAAGCCTACGGTGAACTATCACATCTGCTGTGAAAGTGTGGTCCCAGGGACGAGAGGGTACAAACTTGCTCTATGCTGATTCCAAGGAAGGAAGCAGCTAAGTGGGAGAGAGATTTGGGTTCTGAGTGAAGGGGCAGGCTCGCGAGCGGGCAGCTCCTACAAGGAAGGGCCAGCCCTGTGGGGCGGGCAGCACTGCATCACCGGCACTATCCAGAGACAGAGGGCTGCCTGTCGCGACGTGGTGAAAGAGACAGGTCTCATGAGAAGGTGCTTGTAGTCAGCCTCCTATGGGCTGTGTCACTTAGGATAGCCCCAAGTAGCCGGAAATTCTGCATTCTTTAATGTCTCTAGACGTAGAATAAGGACAAACTTGACAATGTCATAATTTCAGGAGTTTTCTAAAAGGATATAAATTAGGATTCTGTATCTAAGAGGAACAAGCTGCATCATTTAAAGGAGATGGGGTACAAATTTATCAGCCCTTCTAATCATTCAGTGAGTGATTTCTGGCAAAATCACATGAAGAGATGTTCTCAAAGCCCTCTGGGCAGGTTCTAACTGCCAATCCATCTACTCGCGCACGACCCAGATACTCACTGACCACCTCCTGCTCAGGGGACCGTTGTAGGCACGGTGACTACGCCCATGGAGAGAACTGTGTGACAAAAGCTCTGTCCTCAGGGAGCTTGCCTTCCTCTGAACCATACGGTCTTTAAGGAGTTATTTTTCAATCTCAATGAGAATAGTGAAATATTAATAGCCTGGAGTCTAATAGCTCAGGCTGCCCGGAGAAAAAAGAAAAAGAATCCAGTCTTTCACCTGCTCTGATTTTCAAGACTCAAAAGCCTGAGGTGAGGAAGATGAACAGTCTGACTCTTAGTCACAATTCCATTTGCCATTTTCTATTAGAAAATGTAAAATAGTAACAACTGTCTTTTTCTTTATGCCACTGTTCTCTGTCTAGGGAGCGCAGGAACACTAACAAGAGGACCCTGCGGAGGTCAATCTAATGGGTCTGGGGCCTTAAAGGGGGTTTCATTCGCTGGGAGAGCAGAGTCAGATCAGAGACTAACCAGGACAAAGTCTTCTGAAATGTGCCAAAATTTCTGTGGGTCTCCATTTTTACTCAGTAACTTTTAAACAACAGAATATATAACAGATAAGAAGAAAAGGTATAATAAAAAATTTAAAAACTGAGGGGAAATTATATTTTAACTTTCACTTAATTTTCTAAATGACCTTGAATATGAATTGTACTCTTAATGTAAAATAAGCAAAAACTATTGTTTCTATTTCTTCTATCTTTTCCCCTTCGCGTATAGTACGTTTTCCTGTACACAGTGGGCACCAGATAGAATTTTAGGTCTAGAAAAATTCTAAGGTCATTTACTGGCAACCTCATCTCATATCCAGTCCTCCTTCCAGAAGGCCACAGAAATTGCTGGCCAAGTATCTCAGTGTTTCCAGTGATGTCCATTCATTTCTCTTCCAGGCAGCTTTTTCCTTAATGAGCTGGTCTAATCATTAGAATTCTCAACTATATACTGAGCAGGAATCTCTCTTTACCATGTACCCCTATGGAATGATACACCTGCAGTTTCCTTTAAAATATTCCAGGTATACTCACATAATTACTTGTGTAATTAAAAGCAAGTAAAAAGATTTTAAGTCCAACATAGATAGCTCAGGTCTTCAGTGAGTCACAAAAGAATTGCACTCTCTTTGAGGATAGAGGAGGACCCTCACCTCCCATCATTCTCCATTTACTCTGTCCACGCTGCTTCCAGACTTAGAACATTCCCCGGCTGGCAACGGGCATTCAGCAATTACCTGTGCCTTCAATTACCTGAGCCCCAGCTGCCTCAACTAGAAATTGAGATGATAAAGGCAGTGCACTTGAGTGCTGAGCACCCAGCTGCTAAGATGCTCTCAAACAATGACAGCCACTAATGATGTCATCTCACTGCATTTATTTGTTTATGTATCTCGGTCTCTGACTATACTCTGCATTCCCTGAAGTCAAGCACTGTCCTACTCACCTCTGTGTGCCTAGTGTCTCAAATACAGAGGAAGCACTAACGCCTCGTGTGAAAAAAGGACTTTCAACTATGCCGATGATGCTGACTCTCCTTAACCTGGATATTAGGCCTCCAGGGGGGCTCACTTATGCAAAGCGCACCAAAACCCAAATCCAAATTCCCAAGCTCCCCATCGTGATACACAATCTGTACAAATGTTTGTGAGTGGCCGTTGCTTTAGTTATTCACTATATTGAGAAGGAAGGGTCTGTGGATAACTATAAAAATGAAATGCCAAGTTCTAGAGTTCATATATACTTATACACATGC